AAAAAAATGAAAAACAGAGAAATTGAGAGAGACAAAGCTCGAGCAACTGATTTGAGGTAAAACCCTTTGAAACCCACTCTTTGATTCAAATTTTAAGCTTGAGAAAGTTTGATTTTGGTTCGATTTGAATAATTTTGAGTTAGGGTTTGAGTTTGAACAGTTATTGTTGGAATTGAATGAAATTTGGGGGTTTTTAGTTATTGAACTTGTTTAATTGATTAGAAACTGATTTTGATGGATACTGGAGAATATATATTGAAATTGAACTTGAATTGCAGGTTTGGCATTTTTCCTATTTATGCCGGCATGCTGCCGAAATTTCTTTAGAAACTTGTTTTTAAACTGAAATTAAATAAGAAAACCAAACCTATGGATTGGATTCTAATTTTTAAAGAACCCCCAAACTGAATTATAAAATCATTGTGAAAATTGGATTTGAGTCAAGGCACACTAATAGGAAACAATTAAACATGATTGAACTTAATTCGTTTTAGGAATGAGAAATACTTCCTAAGATATTGCTTTTGTGATAAAGCTAGTAGAGAAGGTCAAGTATTAAGGCTTTAAGGAAAGCGGAGGCTAGGAGAACTGAAGGCTAGCCCAGGTTTGACATCCGAGAGGTAGGATATTCTTGTCTATATCCTTGTTAGCCTCATTTTAAATTATTTTGGCCAATGAAAATGTTTTAGAACAAAACATGTTTAAAGAAAATGATTTTAAAGAAATAGCATGAGAATGCTATTAAGATTTTCCAATGATTTTAGAAATGAGATTTCAAAGCGTATCATTTCTTAAAATGAAATATCTTAAGAAATGATACAAAGCATGGTGGCCTCAGAGATCGGGATGTGGGAATCGCATCCTTGGGGGCATGTCTTGAAACCTGTACAGATCCACTTCTTGTTTAGTGGAATTATGGCTCTGTACTTTTCATTAGACAGACATTTTTACCGCTTCTTATTTAGTGGTATGATGAGCTGCACACTTTCATTATACAGACATATTCTATTATGTGAGTATTTCCTTTTTTCTAAAAAAAGAATGATCGATTCCGGGTGTATATCTTCGGACCGTGAGTACCTTTATTTTAAATGCTTTATAAAATTATATCCTACTAGGCCTTTCACTCACCTTTTCCTGTTTTCAAATGTATTAAACCCCTCCAGGCGACGCCAGAAGTAGTACGGAGTAGGTAGCTACTACCGGCGACGTGGACTTGTTTCAGGAAAGCGAAGAGTTGTATTTCCTCTTATCCCTTATCTCAAGGCATGTATAAAAGATTATGGATTGTAAACTTAAATATTACTAGACTATGGTTGATGTCACATTTACTCATGTTTATATTCATGTATGCTAAACACCTGTGGGAATTCCTGACATGATACCAAGGACGTGGTTTTAAACTGATTTGGTTGGAAACTCCACCACCATTCTTGAAATTAAATTTCTCTTGAATGCAGGGGCTTGTTTAGAAATACCTGGATGTTTTGAATTTGAAAAAAAAAATTAAAAAAATTATAATGTTTGTAACATTATTTGCTAATCACTCTCTTAAACAGGTTTAAGTTTCTAAATAAGCTTCCACGTCACTAACCCTGGTTTGGGGGCATGACAAGACTTGGTATCAGAGCCCTTGGTTTAGAACCTTAGGGTTTGGAATTATGCATACATGAATGACATCAGGAAACCACTAAAACAGTCTAGCTTTCTTTTCAGATAAAAGAATGTCGCCGCGCCGTAGAAACCCTAACCCACCAGCGATGCCGAATGAGCAATTCATGGAAGCCATGTACGCCGCTTTCCAGGGGATGGCTACTATAGCCCAAAATGAACGTCCCGCAGAGGACAAAAAACAGAACTACTTCCGTGAGTACAGGCGTAGTTCAATTCCTGCATTCACTAGCGCAGGTGAACCCGAGGAAGCTGAGTATTGGTTCGAATCGGTGTCTAAACATCTAAGTACCATGGGAGTACCGGATGAGTATTGGGTGGAGTTCACAGCTTTTAAGTTTGAA